AAAAATGCTAATTACTGTCCAAAAATATAGAAAAAAAAAACAGTGAATTCGTCTACAATCCTATGAGAATTGTCCATAAGTGGTTTCCAACGAAACAAATGATGCTTATAGATAGAAGTCGTCGTGCTGTATCGATTCCACATCCCTCTAGCTCGACTCCAGCGTAGTATGAATGTAAAAGCCGCTAATTAGTCCTGTATTCGTGCACAGCGTAGAGAGAAAATTAGCCATCGGTTTCTTTGTTTCTGTTAATCAACAGTAGAGAACAAAAGAAGATGCAATTATTTTGCTCTTAATATCATTGTATAGTTGATTGTGTATATGTGGAAGAAAGGAAAAAATCTAATTGCTCATTTCATTCGATCAATAATAAGAAAAGAACAAAAACGCTTTGTCCTGCAACTTGACAACGACATCGAGAAATAAAGCATTTATCTACTTTTCTGCTTTAGCCAGTAAGCCTGAGATATAGAAAGATGTCGCGCATTTCCTTATGATTAAGAGCAGTGATCAAAACAATTGTTCTTAGAAATATTAAAATATATGAATTTGAAGAAAAAGGCACTTCTACTGATTGATGGTATACTTTACATTAATTTGTTTAATTCCCATGTGTTCGATTGTGGTTAAACTGCGACGCAATTGTTAAAAGAGATGCCGTAGATGAGATTTTCATTTTATTAATATCTTTATTGAGAATTAAAAAAATTTGAAACATTAAAAAAATAGACAAATTAAAAAAAACAGAAAAATAAAAAAAATTAGAGTATTAATACAAAATTGAAAGTTAAAAAAATTAAGAAAAATAAAAAAGTTAAAATTAGAAATAAATAAGAAAAATTAAAAAAATTAAAATCTAGAAAAAAAAGCTTTGAAAAAATTAAAAACAATTGAAAAATTATTTGTAAATTATATATTCTACCTATCGTGGTAGAATGAGCCGAAGTGTCATGGACACTGCCTTTTATACTATCTTTCTCTGGCTAAGTTTTACTGCTGGAGGGTGGCCAATTACGAATAAGGAGGAGTGATTTATGATTGGTCGGTGCTAGTTATAGAGGATTGTACGATACGATTACTGCGACGCAGTTACGCACAGTTGCGACAAAAATTTCGCAGTTACGCGCAACTGCGACGCATTGATCGCAGTGCACAAAACTGCGGCGCAGTTGGTAAAAAAGAGGCGACATGGGTTGAAAGGGCACATCAAAGAGTGTGAGTACCGCAATGTCACTGATCTGCAGATCTACCTCTATCATCATCAAATTGCGAAAGCATGTGTAGTTTTCTTTTGTCTTATTTATTTATAGAGATAGAGTGTTGACGACATTCATCTTGGACAATGGATCCGTGATGGGTGGCTATTTGAAGTTTGATTCATTAGTTATTCACTTTTTCAAAAGTTCATTTCATATATTTGATATGTTAGAATTTACGAGATTTATAATATTGATAAATGAATATTCTGAATCAGTGACAATATTGTGATACAAAAAAATCTACACACTAATCATTATCTGTACAAGCGATTCAAGGTTGTTTATTTCTGTTTATACTTTGTAGGCAATCATTTCAATAATATAAAGTAATATAATGGAGAGAAAGAAGCAGACGACTAATATGATGTATGTTTCATACTCGTCAAAGAATTGTCTAAATATTGGTTTTCTTTTTATGTAAAAGCTGTCATAAAATCCTTCATTAATTTTCTCAACTGTAATTGATAGGATAAGATAACGATTTGTGTCATGGTTCAATTGGTAGTATGAATTGGAGCTGGTTTCGAATATTTAATGAAAAACTAGGTGTAATAATGACTCGGTATTGTGTACAGAATGAAATGGATAATTGAAAATCAATACATACAACTTGTTGTGCGAGTGTGAATATGGATGAATATATAAAAAGAGATGAGCCACACCCATACACTTACAAATTCACGAGCTATTGGCATCAACTTATCTTTCAAGTTATACTATGGTAAATAATACATACTATGGGCTATTTAATTTCAGTCTGAATTTATCAAATAAAAATAATACTTGATTTCAAACTGAAACGTGAGTCTAGGAGTGAGGGAGGGGGGTGGCTGAGGGTGTGGGTGTTGGTCTGGGACCCACACACACACCCACACCCATGGTGCGGGTGTGGGCGCGCGAGTGAGGGTGAGGGTGTGCTTGTGGTTTTGTGTACTATAGGCTTTAGTCCCCTGCACAAGGGACTAAGCGGGGACTAAGCTTTTTGTGGGGGGGACTAAGGGGGACTTTGCAGGACTAGGGGGGACTAAGGGTTTTTAGTGAGACTACGTAGTATCAAGCGAGAAAAGTTTGATTCGGCAGAAATTGGTGTGGTTTTTTTGATTTTAGAATTCAGTTTGAAATAAAAAAGCCCATAGACTCAAATAATATTACATCGCACATAGGTCAACGGCCTTGTCGTGGCTTTATGGTCTGCCAGGCAGTACATTAAACTGGCAGCTCTGCTGCAGGAGCTATTCAAAATTGTACAGCAAGATGTTACATGTAAGGTATGTTTTTCTTGTCTTCAAGAGTGAAGAAATGAAATTACTTTTTTGAAATCTCTATAAATTAATAAAAATCAAAGTATTTTAGAAATGATGCAACATCAAGTTCGTAATGGTCTACGAAAAACTAAACATACAGTAAGTATTACTTATATTTAAAATCCTATCTAAATTTTCGCTTAGTATATTTGTCGACAAGGTTTTCTTAATAGGATATTGTTGTTGGTAAGCATTGCGTTTGACAAATATCGTGTAATATTTTATTTCATTTCTTCAGTATAGGTAAGCAAACTGCATGATCGTCATTACGATGCGCATGTATTTATAACATATCAAAGTGATGATAGTCGTTAGTCAATACGATTATTGGAGAACGTTTGAGTAGGATACAAAATTATGAATTATGACAAGTCCTTGATGAATCGTGATTTTCAATAAAAATCGAAAAGAAGCTGGCAAAATATCGTCTTCAATCAGTCTCAATTGCAAATAATATGTCAAGTGTCGCTGTTGGCAGCTCGAAGATTATTGTATGCACTGGAGATTTAAGAAAACAATCGGTTAGTTTTTCTTTTGTCAAAAGTTTTCGTAAATATATGTTGTACCGAAAAACAATATGAAGACATTTTTTGAATTAATTTTCACGAGTAGGAGTCACGAATTCTTTTTGTATTGGAATAGAAGTTCACATATTCATAGACAAGTATCGATATAATTCTACATAAGTATTTCTTAGCTAGAGCTATTACATCTATATTGATGCATTGATTAGAATAATCAATGATTTTTTGCTTAAATAAATCTACTATAGGTCGATGTAATCGTTGCTTGTTCGACACCAAAAATTTTATGTGATACCATTGTTGCTGCTGCTGGAGAACAAGTAAAACGTGCCTTTAATGAACAATCATTATATGGTACACAAGAGATTGAAACAACAGGCGGTAATTTACCATGTAAACACATTGTTTTTCGTCCATGGACCTGTGATAAAAATCAAATACAAAACTTAAAGTCATCAATCGCTACCTTTGTTACATCTATAATTTCATATGCGCTCTGCAACAAATTGACAACCATCGGTGAGTCTATGTTATGTTCGAAGTAAAAATTGCAAAATCAATTTTAGCTTTTCCAAATATTGGTTGTGAGCAATTAGGTTTCGATCCAAAATTAATTGCTGAATACATGATTAATGAAACCTATCAGCAATTGAAAGTTTCAGCTCATTCTGCATTAATTATTTCGTTCGTTCTATAATCTGAACAACAAAATATCTACGATGCATTTGCTGATCAGCTCGAGACAATACGAATCATGGAAGATAAACCAGCTAGTATTTGTTTTGATAAGCAAGGTTGAAGTATTAAAACAATTAATGAAAATTCTTTTTTTGGCTGTTTTATTTCAGAAGTGAGAATTATAATGACTGGTCCAAACAACGATCAATTGATTCAATATCAAAATAAAATAAAACGATTGGCTCAATCATGTTCATCAAAACTTCATCTAACTGAGGAAACTGACATGGACGATTGGTCCCAAGAAACCGTTGAGAAATACTATGATTATTGTTTACAAAGACGGGTTATACCAACAATCGATATTCAAAACTCAACTTTGCATTTAATAGGTCCTAAAGATGCGGTACGTTACATTGTAACAAAAATTCGCCATGGCTTATCATAAATCTTTTCAGAGAGAATTCAATTGAGTCTTTGATGAAAAGTTAATTGCCTTAGGTTTCATCTAATACAGATATTTCGTTTATTTGATCAAGTGACTTAGAAAACCAGGAACTAATCGAATAGGGAATGTTACAAACATGGATCCTATTGACTTTTAATTTATTATTATATTCTAGCTGTTCTTGTAAATGTTAATTAAATAATTCATTATGGTTCGAGCACTGATGATGATTTAACATAATATTTTATAACCACTGATTATTGTCTATTTTTATTTGTTAATTTAGGTTAATGAGGTTGAAAAGTATTTTCTTCAATTAACTGCTGAAATTTTACGAAATGCATACACTCCAGTTTTATCATGTGGCTACATCTGGTCCGTTGAAATATCATCCGGTAAATGGACACAATATTCATATAGAATAAATAAACTTATTGAGAATGCTTACTTAAAGAAGCTTTCACATGTATGATAATGTTTTGTTTTTTTATTTATTCACAAGTATTTCGAATGCTTCAGATTGAATTTGTAAATGAAAAATCGGAACGCTGCCGAATAATCTTCTCATCTATGGAAGAAGAATATCAAACACGAAAGCAAACAGTTAATCGGAAGCGCATAGATTCATCATTGCCTAATGTGAAAAAAAAACCTTTTATTTTAATATTCTATTGAATTTCTTTAATTTTTTAGTATTGGGACTTGTCCGATGTTAATTTTAACCGAGTAGTTCTTTTGGAATCTTCTAAAGAATACATAGATGTTTGGAATCGATTTGATTCTACGATGAATAATAATTATTCAAAAATCATAAAAATCGAACGCATTCAGAATGAGTGTTGGTACAAACAAGTAATTTCGTAGTCTTTATCAAGCTAAACTCAAACTTGTTTGTTTATTTAATTAACTTCTTAGTATGCTGCACATCGTGATGAATATACACAATCTGATGAACGATTACTTTTTCATGGTTGTTGTAGTATATCAGCTGATAAAATTGTACAAGAATGTTTTAATCGAGCATTTGCTGGCCTTCATGGTAAGATTAACTTTTCTTTGCATATTAAAAAAACAGTAAGAATACTGTTTGTAGGAGTTCTCTATGGTAAAGGTGTGTATTTTCATGAACACACGGCATATAGCAATAAGTATGCTAAACTAAATTCTAAAAAGGAACGAACTATGTTCTTAGCTCGTGTTCTGATTGGTAAGACATGTATTGGTAAATCATTGATGAAAGTACCACCTGAAGGTTTTGATACAACTACAGATGGTCGACATATTTTTGTGATTTATCATGATGCTGGTGCGTATGGTGAATATCTTATAACATACAAATGAAATCTTCTCAGTTCAAGCCACTAACGAATAAGACTGTAGTCATCAGACCTTTTTTAAATTTTTTACATTCAAATTTTGCTATTTTCATTTAAATATAGAACAAATTTTCCTTTTCAATGAGGAAAGATGACGATCATTGACAAAAAAGTGTTATCATCAAGAAATACAAATACATAAAACTTTTACTTAATAGTATTCAATTATATGTCGTCCTGATAGTTGAGTGTGTCTAAGATACTCAACATAGATCCGTCAGTATCAACAATTATGAAATGAACTTAGCGAAGTTCTTAACGGATGTTTGATTGAATTTATCCGACTGGTGGCATGCTAACTATATTGTGAAATACACCTGTTCTTGTAGCTAGTGTGTATCAGGATGGAAAAACTTTGTATCAGACCGGTTTTCCAACCAGAGTTACAACATGTATTAGTTGTGGGGATGCTATCGGTTGACAGATTACATCTATAGATAGCATATTAAAACGCAAGGTGTAGTCTTCCGCTTCTAGATAAGTTGGTGTTGAAAACAGATTTAAAGCATGACAAAAAAGCTCGTATGAATAATTATGGCAAACAAATGAAATATAAGAAATTAGAGTTGACCGAAAGTTCCCGTAACATAAAATCAAAGTTTATAAGTACAGAGAAGTATTTGATTATATTTTGTCATGTGTTCAGGGTATATATTGTTCCCTACCTTGAAAATTACATAAACCACGAATATTTTATCTGCTTGATCTACTAAAATTCTGTCTCATTCAGAGATAGAATCCGCGCTAGGTATCGCCAGGTTGCCAGTAAATCGATCAATAGAAACAGCCTATCTCATTCTCTTTCCTGCTTTTCTTACGTGAACTTATTAGTGAAGTCTATTAATCTTCATAGTAACACATTTAGAATGCGTCTATAAGTTTTGTGGAATGTTGACTACGTCAAATAATCCTATCGAGATGAAACCGATGCCAGTATTGTTCGTCAAAAACTCAGATCGATTTCATCTGTAATCCATATGGACTGGTATAACTGAGACTGCTCATACCTATAAACTAGAGCCTGTGCAAACCTAAATCAAGTCTTCTCATCGACTCTGCTTACGATCAGTTATAAAATTCTGATGAGGAATTGAAGCGCAAGTATGAATGTGCAGTGACAACATCCGAGACATTGAGTCTGAGAATGTGTCTAACAGAACTGTCGAAAGATCCTCATGATAGAAAGAAAAAGAAAATGAAACAAGGTTCTGATTGGATTTTTACAAGATTTGCCAAGTTAATATTTTCATTAATCTTGTTTTACCGTTGATATAAGAGATGTGAATGTAGTTGTGACTGTGGCTGTGTGTAGATCTTATCTTCACCAATATCTAAACGCACAACTACATCCACATCCATATCCATTCAGAAAACAGGTGTTATTCTGCTGGAAATAAGATACAAATAAATCTAAATAGGATCCTTAATAGTCAATCACCTTCGATCTTTTTTGAAAGGATAAACAGAATTGAGCCTACAGATATTTGAATAATTGAAAAGTTAAATAGTTCTACGTTACTGGAAACATAAGCCACTAGCAACAAATTGATCCGTTCCATTCGGTTGTTCATACTGCAGCATACAATGTAAATGTCAACGAAGTAAAAATACGTAATTGCAGTAGTTTTAGTTAGATACAAGTATGGCATTCAATAAAATTTCTCGAGATGACATTTATCTTCAGAATCAATTAGATAATAGTACTTTTGGTAAGTAAACAACAAAAAGAGATTGAAAATTTGGTTCGCATCTAACAAAAATGTCATCTATAGGTGTGGTCTATAAAGCACTCT